CGCCTTTCCAAAGAACTTGAGGAATGTTTTATCAACGACGAAAATGCAGTTTCGGAACGAACATACCCAGCGCCAAAGCATCCATTCGAACGCAGCCTTGAGGCTGCAGACGCAGCAGCACACGTGCAACGGCAGTCATCTATCTACTCGACGGGCGACACGCTCTCAGAGCTATGTAACCAGGCGCTGGCAGACAGTATCCACGCAGGAGATGGGTCAGGTCCGTATGACATCGATCCTCGCCTGTCCGATGACTTCTCCTATGATCACCATCACATGCGGCATTGCCAATACAGGTTGGGTTCAATATCAAGTCCGAATTTCTCGAAACCCATGCACCTGCGGGACTCAGAGCATCCTGAGCCAAGCACACGTACAAGCACGCTTGAGTTTCCAATCTCCTATTCCTCAGTGGATAATCCTAATCTTCACCATTCAAACTGGCATACACGTCGGGTCGACAACACTAGTAACAGTTCGATTCCAGCGACCATTGAAATTGGTCCTGGAACCCTTCAATCTAGTTCTATCACTGGAATCGCCGATTATGAATTTGTAGATGAAGAACACGATGATATGGGTCCGGGAAGCAGCCAAACAGCATCCAGTCGGCAGCTAAGCGTACTTGGGACGTTGTCCACACTCAAGTCTCGCTTTCGATTTCCATCGACTTTGTCGTCATCTCGCTCAAATGGGGCAAAAGGAGGGGATGGATTGAAATCGCAAAGCTTTAACATGTACGCTCTTTCAGCTGTCTACAAAAAGCAGGTTTCTGACCAGATGGAAGGACATGGGGCTTTTAGAAGCGGGGAAGAGAAAGGGGAGAACAGCAAATGGTATGGGCAAAGTGATGATAATGATGGGGGATATGATGATGCACAGGACTGGCAAACAGTTGCTTGCAGCCAGCAGTTTAGAAGTGCGATCAAATGCGATTTCTCGCGCATAGACACAGGGAGCAGTCTGGCTAACTACTCCAGCTATGGGAGTCTTGCGAATGCAGAACCGAAGCTCTGGACAATGTTGACATCACCGGGGGAACCCCAGCAGCAATTTCCTAGTTTCCCCTTTAACACTAACCCAGTAGCGTTGCACACAGGACAAAAAGGGCTTGCCCATTCCCACAAACCGCACCAGAACCCAGAGTTAGACCAAGGTGTGCTGTTGCCGGAGAACCACCACGCGCATGATCATCACAACCACTCAGCTACAGCTCCAGTTACAACTAAGGCAGGCCTCAGTTTCTTAGACAGCAACAACTCCAGACGGACCCCAGCGCCAGTTCTTGCAGCCTCAACAGCAGTGACTCCAGCTCCTCTGGCCTCATCTTCCTCGCGTTATCAACACCCGACCCCGCTGCAAAAACCACATACGCACCCTTTCCAACACCCACCACCTGTCCTTGACAAGGGAAGAGGACGGCTGAGGAAACATAGTCTGTACCAGCAACCAACCCCATCTCGGTTTGGCCCAGGCCCTAGTGGAAGTGGTAAGTTTAATTTCTTTGATTTCTCTTATCATCAACAACATCAGCCTCAACAACAGAAACAAGCTACAACTACCGCTGGTGCTGCAACTACTACAACCACCAAACCCTGTCGCTGGCAGCAGTCCTCTGTGACTGACTCCGTTGGCCCTGCTGCAACTGCAACCGCCTCATCAGACTGGTGCACTGTGTCTTCGTCTGCCCAGGAAGTGTCTGCGTCTGGCCAGGACCCATATCCCTCCTATTATCCAAAAGAAAATCCCCTATTTTCTTCCAGAAGAAGGGATACCACAACAACCACCCCCGTCGCGCAACACACTAAAAGTATTGCCCGCCGTAAAAAGGCTTTTTCCCATAAATACCCGAGCATGCCTAAATTCGGTACTGAGGAGACTAAAGAAGCTAACTACGAAAACACCAGTCAGCATTCGCTGCCCCTGACCGCAAGCACCCACTCCGCGCCGCGCGACTATTCTTCCGCCAATAGGAAGCAAAAAGAAGCCACCTCCGTTCCCAAGATGCCCGAGCGAGCTCATCCCACTCCCCGCTACGACTCCACCGACCGTCTCATTCTGGATCAGCGCTCTATCCCTCCCACCCCGCCTCGTTACCCCTACGGGCATTATTACAGTATCCACTCATCGTCCTTGGCATCTGAATCAAGGTTTCAACAGCAACATGGCCAGCAGGATGCCCGGCGTCCCTCAGTAACAGGGGCACGTACGATGTCCTGTGGGCTCCGTTTGCTTCTGACCCAAGACACAATCACCAATCATTACTCTTGCAGGAACAATACCGATACCAATGATCAACAAGATCCATATCGTTGCATTAGAGCTCCATCTCGCAATGACTACGTCCGCGAACGCATTCGTCAGCTTGATGAACCAATCAACGCTGCTGCCCTCCAACATGCTAGAGGTAGATATGCTAGCAGAACCACAACCACCAACACCAATACCAAACCCTCCACTAACAACGCAAACCCTACTCTCCACATTACTCACGAGAGAGCACGAAACATCCCTCCCCGTCCCTTCAACGTCGCTGTCCGCCCTGTCATCAACAATCACTTTGATGTCGACGAAGAATACCATATCGGTGACTGGTACTACTCCGAACACGGCCAATACGCGTTCTCCACTGCGCCACGCCTCTACAAAACGTCCGCCATACATAAAGAACGCGCTGCTATTACAGGTCCAAATACAAATTTTGTTCTCCAACGACGTGTTGGGCGGCAACTGGTCATTAGCGCGACTGCCTTCTTACCCCTGGGTTGGTTTGTGCTGGGTTATATTGCGCTTCTGGGCCATGGTGCGGATTGGTTGGTGCACTGGAGGTCGCGTGGAGAGGCGATTGGGTTTCACTATAAGGAGGTGAGATTTGCGAGGAGGGCAGCTGGGGGGGTGTTAATTAGTTTGGTTATTGTAGGGCTTGTTATTGGGACTATTGTGGCAGCTCTGCATGAGAACGATTCGTGAGGAATGATGGATGACGATTATGATGATGTATGATGGATTTGGTTTGGAATAAGGAATAGATGGGAAGTCTTCAACACGGGATATAAATGGTTTCTAAGTTTTGTTGACACGACAGGGTCTTGTTGGGAATAAACAGGATCCGCCGTACACTATCAACCCATTCACCTTTTTCAGGTACAGCCCATCGAATGTACCTGGTTGAGAATTGGGGAACCAACAACCCTTCTCCCAGCAGCACTCGATCTTGAGTCATATCTGCCTCTATTACCCACTCGCCCATCTACCCCCTTTTATTCACCTCTTTTTCCCTTTCCCTTCCTTTTTGCTTCCCCTTCTTTGCACCTTTTCTCCTCGGTTGTTCTGCCGTCCCTTTAAATGTTTGCGACGTTTTGCTAATTACCCCTTTCATTTCAATTGACTTATTTACGCCTCCGCATGTCTGTATATATGCATGAAGGTCTGTTCCGCTCTTCATTGCTCTTCTATGTCGAAATCGTTCTCGAGTGCTGGACCTAATTAATTTCCTCCCCCCTTCTTTTCCTCGAGTTCTTTGCTTTACAACGTCTTTATACCCACTCTGCTGTGGAATCATGGACAAGTCGCGGATACAACCTTGCATTGTTCTTATTCATCTCTATATTCCTCCCTCCTCCTGTTTATACCCTTTCTCTATTTTCTGTTGTCTAAATTTACATTCACTGTAAAATCTTTTTCGCAATACCCCCCGGATGTAGAATTGTCGACAAAATCTTGGACACAGTTTCACATCATCTATGGTCCCCCTTCGCTTTTATTTTATTTTAATTTTAATTTTTTTTTTTTTTCAGCCCCCTTCATTTAAGTCCTTACTTTCAATTTGCATCGCAAAGTCTTTACCCATTATACATAATGCTATGTGAAAAATTGTCGGCGAGATTCCAGATACACACTCGCAATCTCGTTCTGTCATCTCTAACGTTTTTTTCCATTTTTTTTCCCCCTTACCTCCTTTCCTTCCTCCCTGAACGCTTAACATCTCTTGTCTTGAAGCCATCATCTTTCCCCCTTTCTGTGTGGACTTTTCCCACAACGATGATCTGACTCAATCCTGTTGCTTTCCCACTCACTGCAAAACTGCCAACCCCCTATGTTTCATTCCCACGTGCCAAGCTGTTTTTCGCAAAATACTGGAGAAGAATCACCTATCCTTCTTTTCATGGGCAGGCAGGTTTTTGAGTTGTTGGGCCACTGAGGGGCCCGTTTTTGTTTAACGGGCCTGTCGGTCTAATAATGCGGCAATCGCAGGATGTATAGAATGGATACAAAAAGGAAAAGAGCGAAAGAAAAAGAGGGATGTGGGGTTTTGCTTTCAGTTACATGTCAAGTATAGTATAGTCGCAAAGAGAAAATCCTAAAATAAAATAAAATAAAATAGTTTTTAAATTTTCGGTCTGGAGTATTGATAGTTTTTCCTGCATTTGGCTCTCTATCCGCCTGAGTTGTACACTCAACTTGAGTTCCCCTCAGATGTTACTTCGACCGCACGCTGTGGACTCAATGAGGCTTGGACATAGACCACATCATTATAATGGATGAAGCAATATATGTATATGAGAATGCAGAATTATTATTAAGTGGTTTCTGACACCATGTAAAAGCATGATAATAAAGCAGCCATTCACTGTTATCCAAATCCACAAGTTCATTTACATCCATCCATATACCAAAAATCCCCCAGCAGTAACTGTCCCAGCCAATCAATAATAACCTTTCAAGACTCCGTTTGTACCAGCAAGGATATGGAGAGATTCCCCACACCAGAAACGGAGATAAATGGTAGTAAAAATTATGAATGATATGAAATAAGTTGGAACAAATGAAAAAGAGATGAGCAGAATTGACGTAGGGGGTATATAGCAAAAGTCAAAAGCAGCAAAAGTCAAAAGCAGAAAAAAAAGGGGGTGTTAACAAACTCGACATCCCTTGATATCCAATTCCAGCACAAATTTCTCATCACGAAGGCATGGAAACCTTTTAAACCTTCTTCAATCTTACATTAAGAAAATCGTTGGCAACGTCTTCAGGGCGTCCCTCGATTGTGAGCCATCCATTTGAATAACGTCTTCAACTCCACGACCGCTCTTCTCTTTTTCCTTCTCCTTTTCTGCCACCTCGGCTTCCACCATCGCGGTGACAGCTGCCAGCACCAGACTCCTTCGCCGTAGACCCTGCGGTGATTTCGCCCCTCTGCGGCAACCACCGTTATGATTAGAATTCCGGAGAGTGTGACGAGATTTTTCAACTTTGGAGCTGTGGGTGGGTGGCGATGGCGAAAGTCTAGACTTGGATACAAGTTCTGTGGCAGATCTGTTGAGGATTTGATGGTTATGATAGTTATGGCTATTGAAGGACGATCGTCTTCGAGAGGGCAGGGGAGGTGGCAAGGAGCTCGGGTGCTGGTCATCGTTGAGATCGTTTTTACTAGAGCAGGTGCGATCAGCCTTCTCGAGTAAGAGGGCGATACGAACGGTTTCCGCTACCGTTTTGGTAGAGCATTGCAGAAGGGATAAGTTTTCCCTGTGTTGGCGGAGGGAACAATACTGCTCGTGCTCATGCTCATGCTCGTGCTCGTGCTCGTGCTCGTGCTCGTGCTCGTGCTCGTGCTCGTGCTCGTGCTCGTGAGGGTTGATGGGCGTATTGTGGGATGGGCGATAAGGTAGGTTACTTGCTTCAGAGGCCGATGGGCTCCGGGACTCAATGTACATCAGCGTCGAAGTAGGTGACGGCTCAGCCCAAGACGAAGTATCAACCCGGTCCACAGCTGGGGGGCTCAGCGTCTTATTCTCTAGCCAAATCGAAGGCATACTGGCATGTACACTTGCACTGTGAGGTGGTGTGATGGGGAAACTTTGTCCTTCAACATTCTCGGTGCTTGCCCCGTTGTCCAAGCGTTGAGCATCTAGCCTTTTTGTTAACGTCCCGATCGAAAGGCGATGGCAGGTATTGTAATTGTCTGGGATGGAAGTGGGCGGGGGTGGAAGTTTGAAGGGAGGTCGTGTATGTGTGCAAAGTAAGGGATGGTCTTTTGAATCCCGGTGACACAACGAAACGGGAGAGGGCGAACGAGAGCAAAGGGGAGAGATGAGGTTGCTGTCGAAGTCAATCAGCATGCCTGTGTTGTAACCGGTAGTTATTGGCGCGTCGGGATCCCCCTTTGGAGGGGACGGGGACGGGAACGAAAACCCTTCGAACATGGCGGCAGAGGATAAAAGGTGACGGTAAAAACGAATGTTTAATATGGTAAATAAATGGATAGGGCAATAAATGCCACCTCAGCAAGAAGACTTTAAAGCTTTTAAGAACAAAAAAAAAAAAAAAAAAAACAACGACACTGAGCCGATCTGTTGGGAGACGCGATGCGATTTAAGGTTCAAGGGAGGAACGAGGCTCAGCCAAGGGAACCAAGGGTGTGTTGCTGCTGTATGTAATTTGGGATATATATATTCTCGGTCTAGAGACAACAATTTGCCTCAAGGGGGTAGCAGGGCGGCTACAGATTCTCGTTTCGTCGTTATTAGGGAATGAGGGGCAGCTCCAGGAGGCAAATCCCCAGTGAGAAAACGCGGTAATATCTACCTATCAGCCAGGGAACAATGGGTCTGAAAGAACCGGTGACATTGCCAGCACAAGCCCTCCAGCAGGCATATGAGAGGAAAGATGAAGCAGAAGAGGGTAGAAGAACAGAAGAAGATGAAGCGGAAGCGGGAAGCGGAAGAAAAGAAGATGAAAGATGAAGTTGAAAGATGAAAGTTGAAGTTGAAGATGGACGATGAAGTTGGAAGGTGCAGTGGAGAAAGATGGGGATAGATAGGAAGGGGCCCGGGTTGTTGTTTATGAAATATTTGGCAGGAAACCTGGGGTATGGCCGAAAGGGGCAAGAATCCAGAACACCGCTGGAAGGAACTAGTGCCGCGTAGCTCAGCAAGGGGTCGACATTAGGTTTGGCGCTATTCTAATATCGGCCTAACGGCATCTCCCCCATTGGTCAGCAGCCTGGGGAAACCTTCTCCTGGGCCTTGCAAGGCGTATAACATGGTTTCGCTACGGAGGAATAATTCATGAGCTGCTGTTGAGTTATAACTATAACCAACCAACTAACTAGTTACGTTCGTTAGATATTATATAACCTTGCTCCGTTCCTCTCGGCAACCGCATTTCCCATCCGGGATCAGCCCCTGTCAGAGTGCCAAACTACGGCAACTGCAGATCAACTAGGCATCATCATCATCATCATCATCATCATCATCATCATATGTCCGTTTGAGCACAACGGCTTTCCCAGGTCCCTGTCCGTCTTGTTTGCAGTTTGCTTTGCTCTTCCTTTCGTCCTTGAAAGTGGACTCCCCACCAATCTTCTCATCATATTCCCACAGCAATTAAAATATCAGGAGGCGGTGTACGGTCGACTGTGAATCCCGCTGTCTATCTTTAGCATTACCTACTACTCCTTTTGACTGCAAAGGACAACAAAATTAAAATTAAAATTAAGAAAGAAAATAATTTAAAAAAATATATATATAAAAAAAATTAAAAAATTAAAAAATTAAAAAAGTTAGCATAAACAGGTCATTATAGATAGATAGATATATATATAAATGATTATTAATAAGGGGACAGTGGTAGTTAATCATCATTCAACTCGAACAAAATTTTCTCGAAAGCATCGCCATTCGCCTTTCTCCCGATCCCCAGCCCTATGTTACAAAGGCTACAATGCAACAATGACCTGCATTGCAATCCCAGTCAAATCCTTCTTCCAAAATTCGTTTGAAAATTCGCCGCTCTCCGGACCCAAGGTCCTTGCCTGGGTAAGGGGGGCTTCAAGGTTCCTTCTTGCTCTGATATAGTTATTACATGAGGGCAATGTTTGTCAGCGAACCAGTAACTCGTTGACGATTAATTATCGTAGACCTGGATCACATACGCTGTCCTGTCCCGTCCCAACAAAGACTATATATCCTCACTTCGAGCATTATTTTATAGACACAGACACGGGCGTCATGGAAATTCTGCCCGGCTTCGATCGAGGAAGACACAACTCAACCAAGGTCACTCGTCTCCCAATTCGATGATGGTACGATAGGATTAAAAAATACAGGGCTAACTGGTTTACAAAGTCATGCTCTATATCCACTGCCCTCGCTACGCCAATAATATCGAAACGACTTTTTATATTTCTAGGAGGCGAATCTCTGCATCGGAATTTGTCATTATATCAGTAATGGAGATACATACATACATACATGGGTGTGGATTTGTCAATCGATTCTCCGGCGTGAAAGGTGACAGGACGACCAATGTTTCCCTTGAAGGAGATTGATTCTATTTCCTGTTCATGAAATAAATCACTGCAGCAAAGGGTCGGCTCAATTTTGAATTAGCAATTAAAACAATGTATAACTGGTTAACTAGTTAAAAGAGGAAAATATCCTTAAATGTAGCAAATAACCGGAATTCCTTTTCGCGGTTCCCCCTTGCATCCCCCAGACCCCGTCCAGGCTAAGTCCATGTTAACTAAACCCCAACTATTATGAAAAAAAAAATAAAGATGCGCCACTTTATGCAACTCTATGTTAAAACCAACCTGGCAAAAAAGGGCCCAATCACCAGCAGTCGATACAATGGATGGAGTGCAATTCCACAGGGGTCAGCTGACATCCCAAACACTCTAATCTTCCCCAAGTCGAATTCCGCAGTGGGACTCCATGAAGGTCCCCGCTTTCAACACTACGACAAAACACCAAACGGGAGCATCCCAATACCCAAACTCCCCAAAACCGGCACGGTCCTTTGATTTCAAACCTACTATTCCACGCAGATAGATACCATGGCCACTCTTCTGAAAAAGCCTCTGAAACTCGCCCTGGTGCAATTAGCTTCAGGTATGTTGCCTAAGACATCATTAGCAATTTTAACGTGACCCCCACCCTTTCCCGCAAACAGCCTAAATTCAAAGATATGATGCTCCGTATATTGAAAGTGACACTACCAAACCCCCCCCCCCCCCAAAAAAAAAAAAAAAAAAAAAATTAAATAAATAAATAAAAATTAACAAAAAATTAAATTAAAAATTAAAATTAAAATTAACTCGCAAAATTTCATTTTAACGAATATGAGCATGCAGGTGCCGATAAAGCCCTTAACCTCCGTCACGCGCGTAACAAAGTCCTCGAAGCCGCAAATTCAGGCGCATCCCTCATCGTGCTGCCAGAATGCTTCAACTCCCCCTACGGCACCCAATACTTCTCCAAATACGCCGAAACCCTCTCCCCCTCCCCACCTTCAAAGGAGCAATCCCCTTCCTTCCATGCCCTTTCTGCCCTCGCCTCAGAGGCCAAAGCCTATATCATCGGCGGCAGCATCCCCGAATTCGCCCCAGAGAGTAACAAATACTACAACACCTCCCTTGTCTTCTCACCCACAGGCGCGCTGATCGCCACGCACCGCAAAACGCACCTCTTCGACATCGACATCCCCGGCAAAATCACCTTTAAGGAGAGCGAGGTGTTGTCTGCCGGCAATAAGATTACAATCGTCGACTTACCGGAATATGGCAAGGTGGGGCTGGCGATCTGCTACGACGTGCGGTTCCCGGAGTCAGCCATGATCGCGGCGCGCAGGGGTGCTTTTCTACTGGTATACCCGGGCGCATTCAACTTGACTACCGGACCCCTGCACTGGTCGTTGCTGGGGAGGGCGCGGGCCGTGGATAATCAGGTCTACGTTGCACTGTGCAGTCCGGCTAGAGACATGAATGCCTCGTACCATGCTTGGGGGCATAGCTTGGTTGCAGATCCGAAGGCGGAGATCTTGAAGGAGGCTGGGGAGGCGGAGGAGATTGTCTATGCTGATCTGAATCCAAAGGCAATTGAGGAGATGAGGAAGGGAATTCCAATCTATAATCAGCGGCGGTTCGATGTGTATCCTGATATTAGCAAGGGGGTCTTCAAGGATAGTGAGTGAGGAGGATATAGAGTTTGACGGGATGTCTCAGAGGAGAGAAGAAAAAGAAGAAGAAGAAGAAGAAGGAATTGATGGAAGTGGGAGGGATTGTATAACATCTGTTTCGAGTATTCTACAAGTACTTCAAATATCGCGGTATTATGCTCGTTAGGTAGTTATAAAAAAGGCGATAGTTGTAGTTACAGCGATGTCTGTAAAATCCCTTTGTAATTAAATGCGTTGGACAACCTTTGCCTTTTCGATCCTGCACAAGTCGATTATATAATTCAATTCCCAACCCTTGGGATGAGCAGGATCGCAGTTTCCTTTGACACCAGAGGGATGCATCTCTCATTATCCCAAATAGGAAGGAAGTCTCGCAACAAATATATACCACGTGACAAAACCATGGTCTTACCCTTTTAGGATAGCTAAGCGAGTCACACCGATCATTTGCGCAGCCAAAAATACTCTGACATTCAACAGCGAACAATTTCGCACCTTAAAACGACGACGACGACAACGAGGAGCGAGAACGACAACCATCCATCCAACGTCAAATCTTTGCCGTACCTTGCAGTAAGTCCAATCAAGCCAGTTTTTTTTTTTTTTTTTTTTTTTTTTTTTTTTTGATTATTTGAATATGTTCCCAGCAATCCATTTGTCACCCTCGTATCCGTTCCAGTTCGATATCTAACTATACCGATTTTCTATACGAATGAATAGGAACATGTCTTCCGCCAAAGCTGGAAAGAAGAGCCAACGCTCTGCCATCTCCGACGTTGTCTCGCGGGAGTACACCATCCATCTTCACAGAAGAGTATGTGCCACCAATTTGCCATCCCCTTGAAAGAAAAGAAAATCGAAGAAAAAAGGGGGGAAATACACAGCGCAAAGCAAATTATCATCTTCTTTCTCATGCGAGCATGCTGGTGAAAGGGACTATGGAAAGATGGGGCGTGAAATGAGCCGCGAAAGAGAAAGATAAAGAACTGCAATAATGGGAAGCGGATATGTGTTGTGGTTCGGTTCGATTCGAAGGACTGCACCGCTGGTGTACACCGCACGAGACGACACGATACCGCAACACATACATGATGCATACCGAGGTGTAGAGGAGAGACCAAAAAGAAAAGAGAAGGACTTTCCAATCTCAACAAGAAAAAGAAAGAGTCGCGAATTGGTTTTATGAAGTCCACTTTCTATGGCCCCTAGCTACTGCTGCATTAAGAAATTGGATGAAAGCATTCTTCTCCTTCTCCAGAAAGAAAGAAAGAAAAAAAAAAAAAAAAAGACAAAAAGCAATTGGGCATTTCGGACGGAAGACTGATTTTTAAAACTCTTTTCTCTTTTTTTCTTCGCCATTTGTAGGTCCATGGTGTCTCCTTCAAGAAGCGGGCACCCAGAGCTATCAAGGAGATCCGCGCCTTCACTGAGAAAGCTATGGTACGTTTTGAAAACCACCCTCACTCCCCAAAAGAAAGAAGAGAGAAGAGTTAAAGAGAAAATGAAAACAAAAAAACAAAAAAAAAAAAAAAAACAAAAAAAAAAAACTAACCATACATTGGGGGCCCCCTGTTGCCGCCCCCATTCCAACCAACAGGGTACTAAAGACGTCCGTCTCGACCCCCAGCTGAACAAGAAGGTCTGGGAAGCCGGCATCAAGGGCGTTCCCTTCCGCCTGCGCGTGCGCATCAGCCGCAAACGTAACGACGAGGAGGGTGCTAAGGAGAAGCTGTACTCGTTCGTCCAGGCTGTGAATGTGAAGGATGCAAAGGGTCTGCAGACTTCCGTGATTGAGGATGCTTAGATCTGATTGACGGGAGAGGATGGATAGAGCAAGGAAGGAAGGAAGGGGGTAGCTGGATAATTCTCTTTGCTTCTGTTAATATCGACCCGGCTTCTTTTTTTTTTTTTTTTTTTCTTTTCTTTTTCTTTTCTTTTTAAAAAGGGTGGACCTTAACGCTTTCTTGTGGCTGGGTCGGAATACGCCAGAGAAAAAGTTGTTCAAGAGGATCGGATGGATTTTTGGTTCATTGATGTATCATCAGCCAGAACTTCAAACATCAATTCAATACCCTATTTCGAAAAATGAATTGAGGTACGCTGGATGCTGGAAACTTTAACCGTAATACTCGATCGTTCTCCAGCAGTCGCTCACAAGATATAGGCCCGCCTGCAAGATCCAAACAATAGGGGCCAAAGTGGCAGAAGTTGTAGAAATCATTCAATTTCCACTATCAAAAGTGCAAAAATTGCCATCGCGCCCCATCCACCCCACTCCTCAACACGCGCACACATGGATTATATTAAACCGTTCCAATTTTTCCATATACAATCTTAAAAACCTACCCTGCTACAAAGACTCTAGCCATCTGCATGTACTGAAATTGCAATATAATGTAAAAGACCTAAGTTCTCTCTCTCTCTCTCTCTTTCTCTGCGCGTGTGTTGTCCTAGCTACCTAAAATGCAAGTAAAATAGAATGTGCAAGTGATAAGAGAGCACAAGTCGCTATGCTGGATAAACAAAAGATGAAAAGACGGGAAGAAGGCTTGATTACAAATCTGAAAATGCTGCCGTGGGATGAAAAGTGGGATCAGAAAGGAGAAAGAAAATACCTGACTAGATAGATGCGTGTACGGGTTCCTCGTCGGGTGGTATGGGGGAGCTCTCAGGGATATATATATGTTGAAACATTGGAAGTTTGGTAGGGGGAGGCGGGGAGAAGGAGACGTAAAATTACACACAACGAAACAGAAAAGGAATAGAGAGAAAACGTACGGCGGTAAAGGAGGGAAATAGAAGAGAACTAAAGCTGAAATCGTGAAGTTGAAGCCGTAAACGGGAAAATATGTACAACCGGGGACGTCAATGGGCTTATAACATAAGCTGAGAGAAAGAAAAAAAAGAAAAAGAAGAAAAAGAAAGGGTTCAATACTTCTCCAAAAGAAGAGAGTTTCCCCCAGGTGCGGCATTGTTTCGAAGGGGGAGAATTGGAATAAAAGGAATAGATACTCACTATAAAAGAATAGAAGCGGAAGCAGAAATGTAACAAATGAGGACAGGAAATAGAAAATGCAAAACACGTAGACGAAAAGTGAGAAGATGCAACAAGAAAATAATAATAGACCGGAAAAAAATGAAACAAGGAACACCACCATGAAGATAGATGGATATTTTATAAAAGAAGATAGGGCAAAAAAAAAGGGGGGGGGGAGGAGGAACAGAGCTACTTAAACCCAAGCCAACCGTTCATTCGTCCGTCCATTTCCATTTTCGGTTTTCCATGCTCACATTTCTCCCGTTTCCCCCTTCAAAGTCTTACTCTTCCCAATCTAACCTAAGAGCCTATAAACCTATCCCCATACCAGCCATTCCAGCCACATAATATTCATCACGAAACAATCAACAAGGAGGGGGAGGGAAACCTTTACAAAATAGAACAAAAACAAGACCAGCAAGCAAGCAACAGCACACAAACCGCTTTAAAAAAAAAATCAAACAAATTTTCCGTTCACTTCTTATTCTTCTCCATCACCTGCGCAAGCTCCACAGCCATCTTCTCCTCCTTGACCCTAACAACCCACTGCTCCGGCTTAGCCCCATCAACAGGCACAAGAAACTGTACAGCCGTGCCTTGATTCTTATAGTTAACCGGCGCAATCAGATTAGCATTAAGCAGCACACGACCGCTCGGGTCAGCACGGAGCAACACCCGCGAACGGCCCGTAGTTTTATTCTTCAGGATCCGCAGCAGACCCAGACCCACAGTGTGCCACTTGGGTTTATCTTCGCCCGGTGCTGCCTTAAACTGCAACGCCTTGGCACGCACGTCGAATAATTCGTCTTCGTTTTCTTCGCCTGCGCCACCGCGGAGCAGGTCGACTTGTGGGAGGTCTTCGACGGCGTCTTCGTATTCATCGGCACCGGTATCGGAGAGGTTGGGGGTTGTGGCGCGGCTTACGTTGGCGGATGTAGAAGCGGAGAACGAGAAGGGGGACAGCTGAGAGTTGCCATTCGGTAGGATGGAGCTAGTTGCTCCGGAAAAGAGGGTGGAGGTGGCGGGCACGGAGGTTGGAACTAGAGCAGGTGAAGGGGTAGGTGTGGACGTGGGCGCGGATGCGTCCGGGCTGGCGGCCGTGATACCAGGAAAGGATTTCGAATCAGAAAGACCCGGGCTCGGTTTCAGTGGGGATAGAGTTCCCGGAGATTTGAAATCGAGTCCGTTCGTTTGGAACAGAGAGGTGCTGCTGGATCTTGAAGAATTGAACGAGGAAGAAAATTTGGGAGTAGCAAAAATCGATGAACCGATGGTATCTTTCTCTGCTGGGTTTGGCTCATTGATGCCATCTACCCCCTTGGCACCAGGTAACTCCTGGCGGACAGGTTTGCCGTTCTCATCCAGCTCCACCCGGTCAAATAGACTACGACCACCACCGTTGCTGGTTGCTGGAGGCGTTGGGGAAGATTCAGATTCCCTTTCCTCTGTAGACACAGACTCGGTGCTGGCATCGCTATCGTGCTCACTCTCTGAGCGTCCGGATAAAGGAGAGGTAGGAGCCTCATCGACGCCACTGGTGGGCGACGCCGCTGAAGACGGTCCGGTCAAAATCGATGGAGTGCCGGCTCTCTGCGATTGGGACACGTATGATGTTGCAAACACAGTCAAAGTGTCGGAAGCGCCGTTTACAGTAGAATCGGTATCATCACCAGTCTTCTTCTCATGGTTGGTATCCTTCGTGGACTCAGATTGACTTCCACCAAGGCTGAATATGGATTTGCTAGCAGGTTTCTGAAATACGCTCGAACTTGCAGAATTATCGCCAAAATGCTTGGATCGCTTGCTAGCCTCATTAGAGGAGGCAGCGGCGTTTGCGGTGTAATCTGCCTTTCTCTTCCCGGGGGGAGACGTAATCGAACAAAACGATGAGGTTACATCTGAAGATTTCTCGCTAGAGAAACTACCATTCATATCTGTAGTTGAAAATGATGACGTGGCGCTGGAAGTGTGATGGTCAGCCGTTCCATTTTGAGAAGCAATGGAGTCCAAATCTCGGGCTTTCTTGCGCAAGGAAATTTCTTCCATTACTAATGCCTTGCGTTTTGTTCCAGATCTAGGCAAAACACGCATGTTGGTGGGAGCTCCAATATTCTGTCGCATTATAATATAGAACTCGATCAAGGACTCAAGATCATCGGTACTGGGATCAGTGGTTGCGATGTTCTTCTTGAAGGAGGTGTTCAACGCATGCACGCGCCATTGTGTATCAAATTCCGCGCGCTCATCATTGTTAAGTTCGTGTGGAATAGCTGGTGGGCCGTATGACGAAAGTCGAAATTTAGGAATTATAGGTTCTTTTCTCTTAGTAGAAGACATTGGTTTCGCTGGCGTGCCCTCCTTGGGCTTGGTAATTGCTCCACCATTGGTTATTGCACCGAACAGTGGCTTCACCGTCGTTGTTGGCGTAAAGCTCGGTGTAGGTGAAGGAGCGGGAGGCGTTGATGGAACCTTTTCTGGAGCCGTTGGGTTCTTGGATCCAAATATGTTGCTAGTTGCCGGTTTATCATGAGAGAAGCTTGAAAACAACGGCTTACTTTGAGTAGTTGATGTTGTCTCAGTAGAAGAAGTTTGACAGAGGCTTTTTGTAGTTTGAGTGTCTTCCTTTGGCTTCGCTTCTGGAGTGGCTGTGGCAGGGGCATTCTCGGAAGTCTGGAACAGATTATTCAACCTAGGGGTAAAGGAAAACGCGGATGTGGAAGAAGTAGCCCCTGAAGTAGCCGGGGTGCCAAACATCGAGGTGGCTGGTGTAATTTCCGCTGGTTTGCTAGCACGACCAAATAATGAAGTGCTGCTGGGCGTAGACGGAAACACAGGAGCAGCTGGGGCCGGCGGTGGAGACTTGGGTGAAGTTCCGGTAGCTGGAGCGGGTTGGCTGTCTGAAACGGATGCGGAGGTTGTTGACTCTGCAGGCTTTGAAATATGACCAAAAAGCACAGTCCCAGTGGCAGCAAGAGTGGATGACTCAGGAGCACTAGCAGGTGGTGGAGCCGGGGATTGAGATGACGATGGCTGGTTTTCGCTTGCAAATTGATTTGATGACTGCTCCTTTCGCTTTGAATTATCGCCAAAAAGGCTGAAGGGAGCAGAGGAGGGAGCTTGGAAAGAGTTGGTAAACGCTGGAACCGAAGAGGTGGCGCTATCTGTACTTGTTGTGGATGTAGCAGCTGCTTTCTCTTCAGGTTTGCTCGCCTGTCCAAATATCGAGCTGCCAGTCATTAATGACGGGGTAAATGAAAACTTTGGAGACGGCTGCCCAATCGTCGATGCAGGAGCCGCGGGGGCGTCAGACTTGTTCAGGTTTCCAAAGAGTGTGCTGCCAGCGGAAGTTTTTGGTTGGAAAAGAGAGCTTGAAAAAGGTTTAGAAGTGGAGGGAGTAGAAGTCTGAAATAGAGATGGTGGGCCTGATGGCGCAGTGAATGATGGCTGCGAAACCCCTGACACAAAGAACTGATTTTGCCTATTTGCACCAGCACCAGTTTTACTATCAGGAGAAGTTTGCATCTCATCACTTGGGTTCCCAACTTGAGAAGCAGCACCAAATATGCTTATAGATGTTGAGGACGCGCCGAAAGTGTTACTTGATTGGCCGAAAGGAGCGGTTGATGTTGCTGGTGCTGCAGAGGCGGGAGGTGCAGGCGAAAAAGGCGCAGTGGTGTTTGGTGCTTTGGAACCTCCAAAGAGGAAAGAGGTCTGCTGCGGCTGTTGTGGTTGAGATACGCCAAAGATATTGCGCGTTTGTGCTAGCTGAGAGGTGTTATTTGGGGTGCCTTGGTTTGCAGTGCCTGGGATGTTGAAGGTGTTCCCTTGGAAGCCCTGAAAGCCTCCTCCTTGACTTTGGCTAAATCCAGAAGACAAATTGGAGAAAGGATTCTTTATCTCCTGATTTGCGGACGTCGAGAAGCTGAAGGACGATGACGGTGGAGTAACTCCTGATTGGCTGCCGAACAGCTTAGAACCCGTGTTATTCTGATCACCAAAGAAAGGAGACTGCATGGTTTGTGTGCCAGGACCCGGAGTTGGCGCCGGGAAACTCTGCGAAGGGTTAAAAGAAAAGCCGTTTGTTCCAGCAGAAGAGTTAGGGGGGACGATGTTGGGATCGATAGTGTTGAAAGGACTAGGGAATGATTGAGAAGTTGAAGTCGCAGTACTTGAAGAGGCTACACGAGGGCGTTGTCGAGCCTGCTTGATTCTGTTGTGTTATTGTTAGTGAATGATGTTAATAATTCCCCCTGGAGAAAATGTAACGCGTAAACCAAAAAACATGCAAAACAATGGGTATAAAGAGACTTCTCTGCGCTCCCCAAACATACGTCCCAAACGAAAAGTGCGTGCTGCCCATTAGAAGACCAGCCGCAACATCAAATTTGAAGACGAGGGCTCGTCAAATTTCGAGGTCTTGGAGTCTAGAACAAAGGCAACAGCTCGCGGCTTTTTAAACGCGCGCTTGGACCTGAAAATAAGGTGGATACGCTGGCCAAAAAGGCAAGTGTACGGCAATGTTGATCAAGCCGGAAGGAGAACGCGAGATGCTCGATAGAGAACAAGAGGAGGGCAGAGCAAAGTTGGTGTAGAAGTTGCGGGGGCGGGCACTTCAGGTTGGGTGAAAACAGCGCACAATGAAGTCAAAAGCGTAGAGAACAGCGAAGAAGCAGCAGCCCAAGCGAAAATGAAATTGCGAGGCATAGAAATGAAAGAGGAAGCTTTGAAAACAAAAACCAGCAAAAACCAGGCGAGGAAAATTATCAGGATACACGGAGGGATCCATAGGTGATTATCACCACGCAACAGTTCAAAAGAATGAAGCCTCTTGCCCTCACATGATTCTGACCAAATCCACGTGTTGCTATGCAATCAAAGTGAATGAAAGAGGGGGAGGATGAAGGGCTCTGAAGAACCATAAAAGCTTTTGTAACTTCAAACCAACCACAGATAAAAACAAACAGCGAAAGCTTATAAGAAACAGCGAATCAACTCACTTTCTAGCAGCCAATTGCGCAGCTGTCGCCCGCTTGGGAATGTCATCTGGATTTGCAGACATCTCGGGACCAAATCCAATATCCTTCCCACCCTGACTCTGAGAAGTTCGTTTTGACATCGATATTGGACTCCGATGTTGAGAGCCAATCTACTTCTTCTTCCACCACCTCCTCCTCCACAAAACGAACTGGGCAGGGGAACGAAAGCCTAGGTTGCCCAATCTACACAAGATAGGGCCAAAACTCGCGGTGATTTCAGAGGGTACCACGATTGTTGGGCTGTCCGTGGCCCTTTTGAGGTTTCCTTTTGTCTTGGTCAGGGATTCCTCCGTTTGCGATACAACGACTATTTCGAACCATGCGATGAGGTGGGTGTGTAAATGTACAGGTTAAGGCTACGTATATCGATATATGAGTATGGATTATTGGCACATGGGCGGGAAAAGGTGGCTGCGGCTAGTGTTGGCGAAATGAATACACCCCGTTGTTCCGCCCTTCGAGATGAGCACCGTGACTATCATGCGTGGATTAAAAGCAAGTCTGTTGGGGGGCCCCGGGAGGGCAAAAAGTCAGTTGCTGTCAACCTATTACAAATTGGCCATGTATGTTCGTCTTTTGTTTGCCCATGTCGAGGGAGATCGAGCGTGTCGTTGTGTTGTGAAAACCTACCTTGGATAGTTGACCTTTTTTTTTCCCTTTTTTTTTTTTTTGCCGTTCTGTCCCTCAAAACACCAAAAAGCGCGACAATGTGAGGCCAAGAATGGTAGTGATAAATAAAGGGCGCTAGGCCAAAGGGAAAAAACTAGGCAGAAAAGGACGACACGGAGGAAGACAGCAAGGTGCAGTGAAGACACAGATAATGGTGAATGAGAGGAGAGGTGTGTGTTGAGGGGGGGACTGGTGCGGGAGACAAAGGGTGGGCGTCGGGGTGCACCTTGGGTGTTTGGATGGGTGGTTGTTGGTGGTGGTGGGAAGCGAAGGCGGTTGAAGATGTGAATCCATGGAAACGAGGGTGAATAATTGGTGATGCCTGATTGGGTTTAGCCCCATCGCTTCCAAGGCTTTTCTCTTGGCAAGAAAATGATGTCAGGATCCTTCGGATGCGCTTGCCCAGCAGAGAGTCATTGGGGCCAACACCCAGAGAAGCAGGAAGCAGGAAGGAGGAAGGAGGAAGGAGGAAGGAGGAAGGAGGAAGGGAGTTTTACTCTTCCGGGGAGTCTCTACTGTCTTCTGTCGAGAAGGAGCCGGGGAAGTTCCTGCTAAAAAAATGTCTACTGCGGGTGTCGAAGTCACGGGAAGGGAGAGAAGATGCGCTGTATGAAGAGTGCATATGAAATGATAAACCCCCCAATAACTAAGTAGAAGGGGAGCAAGGGAGTAAGGCAAAAACTTTGACTATGGCTCTATTCATTTCATGTAACATTAATATGAGGGAAGAAGCTTTGGAAGGAAATTTGGCTCTCACATCCACACAGACAATAATTGAGTCAAGAAGACGAGGGATTAAGGGAACTAGGAGGCTGACGTCGCTGCGGCTGCGGCTGCGGCTTGAGTCATGCATGGGAAGCAGCATATGGAAGTTGCACTGCGTGGCTATCGGACAGACGCCTTGATCCATTGACACGGTATTTGCTCTGAAGGAAAACGGGGAAGCAAGCAAAATCCATCGCTGCACCTGAAAGAATAAAATAGCAAGGAAAGAGAATTTATATTTACCAATTAAACAATGCATCGGGATATCGTCTTCATCTCCCCATTCTTTCCCCTCTGCCTGCATCCATTCGTTCATAGGGAGCTAATATATATATATATGGAAAACCTCAACTCAACAAGAAATGGAAAAAGAGAGAAAAAGAAGATATATCTATAATCGAAAGGAAGCAAACCCCATTCAATAGACCCAGTAAATAATTCTTTTAAAAAAAAAAAAAAAACAAAAGCCACCTATATTTTACAGCTTAGACTGGGTCTGAGCCTTCTTGAGGATAGGCTCCATCTTCGTCGCCTTCATGACATTGCCCTTGATCTTCAGCTTGCCGCCCATGAACAGACGCTGGGCATTGGCCTTGCCGCTGACGAGGGCCGCGAAGTCGGAATCTGAGAGCTGGAGCGTGACTGCAATAAGAGTTATGTGATGTGATACATAATTGGTTAGCATTCCATTTCTCTCTCTTCCATATACGTCACCCAATCCGAAACCGGAATATCATCTATCATAAAATCATACCCGGGTTGATGAAAATAATTTAAAAATTTAAAAAAAGAAGAGAGAGAGAGAGAAAGAAAAACCTCACCATCAGCCTTCTTCCCCTCAGGTGCAGCACCCTTCCCAACCTCACCCTTCTCCTTCAGGTCAAGATACCAGCTCTCCGTGTCGCCATTCTCGTTTGTCAGCACGAAGGAGAAGATGGCTTGGGCGGCCTTGATGGCATCGTTGCGGTCGGCGGTGTTGGCGCTGATGGAGGCGTTGATGACGTCGAAGGCGGCGGAGGAGGGGAAGGCGGCTGTTTTTTGTTATTTAATTATTTATTGATTTTACATTTTGGAAATGGTGAATGTAAGAGTTGTTGTGGAGGGATGGTCAGGGCATGGGGTATGGGTAATGAGAGAAGGGTGGGTTGATAGGGGGGTGGAATGAGATGAGGTGGGGTAACAACTTACGGTTTGCGAGAGGCATGGCGAGCGTTGCAGTGGTGGATGATGGAGGATGCGGTTGCTGGTTAGACGTAACGGTTTCGTTGAGAAATAACGTTGATGTATTCCTTCGTTACGTTATGATGGAGGAGAGCAAGAAAAAGAAGGGATCTCAGAATCTTGGTTTTCAATTCCGGGGCGAAGTGGAAGCAAAGTTCATTTAGCTATATTTCATGGTTAAATTTTGTTACTCCGTAACTTTATTACGAAGCTTCTTCCAAGACAACATGTGAAATATGGGGAAAAGGTCAAAAAACCATCAAACATGCTTGTTAAGGTGCATCTTGCAACACAACCCTTACCGAGGCTGGGATCGCTTGCGCTTGCACAAGGATTCCGTGTCTCTGACTATTTAGTAAGAAGCTGGGGAAGGGATTTCAAGTGATCGGTCCGAGACCGATCACGGTTCTTAGCCACCCTAACCTCACGGGATGATAACTACGGGACTAAGCTCGGGGCAGACATCAACATAACTATCTGCCAACAAGAAGAACGGAGTTCTCCGCGCAAAATTATCCGGGGAGCTGTGATAGGTGCATAGACCCAATTACAATGCAGTTTGTTAACGTAATTCCCAAGCGAGCGAGCCATCAAATTGAAACACGTAGTTAGTTTAACGTCCAGTCACTCAGCAATAAAATTTGCTATGCTGCGTACAAATTCGAATATTTTTACAATCACAAAATTAAATTGTATTGAATTAGGAATATTAATATATTCTTGAATTGCATATTAAGTAGGAGATTTAATGAAATAGATATGTAAATGATCTGATTTTATGATCATAACACAAGACTTAGTAGTAATAGGATTAGAAATTATTCAAGAAAGTGTCAAACTCTCGAGTTTTGTAGTAGAAATAGAATCTGAATAACTTGAAGAATTGAGACTGATCTCATTTTCTAGATTAAAAAATTGTATAGAATTAAATGATGTAGAAGTCTGCCTCTGTTATCATCTTGATAAATATATATATATATATATATATATAATTATTATTTAATTTATATTTCTTAAGAGTAGTAATATTATAAATATGTATTTATTTCTTTTTAGTCTGCTTTTGCATTTTTCTAGTTTGTTTCTATATATTTTCAATCTTTTATGAAGTTCATTTAGTCTTACATTGCTTTAATTTTCAATTTTTTTCTTTTTTAATTTTAATAATATTGACTTGAACAGTTTATCATTCATATTTACTTATTTTTCTCAATGATATATTTATCAAAAAATTAAATTCTTCAATATTTAAAAATTAAAATTAGTATATAAAATGTAAAAACTATATTATAAAAAAAATTCAACTTTTATTTATATATTTAATAAATTATACATTGAAAAAAGATTAATTATATAAAATAAAAAGATATTTTTTATAGTTAGTGATGCGTACAAGCAATCGAATAGGTAGGATAAATCATGTCTGATTCTCTTCTAATAAGATGGGCGGACGCCCTGCTATATATACACACTATAACCGCTCTATATGGTAGGAGCGATCGCATAGGATAGGAAATATAGGAAAGATTGAGGCCCCTGAGTGGATTAGGGAGGGGCGAATAGAGTAGGGGCGGAACACCAGGGGCGGAATGCCACAGGTAATAATAGGGGCGGAACGCCACAGTTAATTATAATTTTAATATAATAATTAATTATTTATTTAAAATAATTATAATAATAATAATTATTATTATTTTATACTATAGAAATTTTTTTATCTTAAATTACTTAATTAATATAGTTTAATAAATAATTTAATACTAAATTTTTTAATCTTTATATTTAATTATATAATTAATTATTAAAATTATTATTAAAAGATTATAAGTATAATTAAATAATAAAATTTATAAAATTATAAAATTATCAATTAAAAATAATATTTAAAATACTCAAAATAATAAAATAATTTAATTATATTAGAGGTAAAATTTTTATACTATAAATATAAATTATTTTCATTAAATACTTTTTAATAATAATATAATAATTTTTAATCTTTTATACAAATTAATTAAATTATTATTTAATATAAAAAATTATATAAAAATTAAAATATTAAATGATCAATTATATTAATTAATTAATAAATTTTTTCAATTTAATATATAATAATATCTTTAATTTGTAATAAAAATTAAAAAAAATTATAAAAATAAAAAAAAAATTAAATTTACTACCTTTTTTTTAAAAATAAATAGTTATAATTATTTTTATAAAGTTATATATGAATTTAAAAATTTAAAAATTATTTTTACTTATTAATTTTAAAGTAATTTTATATATAACTTATAAATAAATATATAAATTAATAAAAATTAAATAAAAAATAGTAATTTAAAAAATTTTAAAATTTAAAAACTTAAAAATTTTTCTAAAATAATATTAATTAAAAATATAACTAATTATTTTTTATTATATAATTTATTTATTTTTTATTATATTATTAAAACTAAAATATAAATTATTAAATTATTATTTTAAAAATTATATTTAAATTTTTTAAATATTATAATAATAAAAAGCTAAATATAAAATAAAAATATTATAATTAAATAATTTAATATAACTAATTAGTTAGTTATTGTTAGGGTGTGAATGCAAGCTGCATAAGAAGAAAACTCTCTGCATTGCTAACTGCTATGTAACAAATACTAAGCTTGATGGGATGAAAGAGGATGCTGGGGCAGGTTATAACTGTTGGAGCCTAGGCTTCCTATTATGGACTAGCGCACCGCACAATAGTATATAGCATCCCTGAGATGCTACCAATACAACCAATTCAGACGTCCAACAAATAACAACCCACATGGTCGCATGGTCACGTGATGAGGGTTAGGCCTAATCGGGCGCCTAACAATAAGTATATGAATTGATTGCTATTTATTAGTTAGATTAGTAAAATAGTTAAATTCTAGTTTTAACTAGATAGATGTCAGAGTTACTGACAGAATACAACTTAAATGAATAATAATAATAATAATAATAATAATAATAATAATAATAATAATAATAATAATAATAATAATAATATTTTATTATTTAAAATATTTATATAAATAAAAAATTTATTTAAGTTATTGATAAAAAGCTATTTACTAAATGATATTATTTATTTAATAATAAATTATAATAATTAATTAAGTTAAATACAAAGTTGAATAAATAGTATATTAAACTTATTTTTATTTTCAACAAAGTAATATATTTAATAAAATATTTTTAAATTTTTAAATAATAATAAAATTATATATATAAATAATTTAATAATTTTAATTAATAAATATAATATCATAAGTTTTTATAATAAAATTTAAATTTTATTTAATTAAATAATAAATAATTATTTAAAAATTATTATTTTAAAAATTATAATTATATTATATAGACAATATTTTATTAAATATAAAAATATATAATTATATATTTTATTATTATTATATATAAAAATTTTATTAATAATATATTTAAAAATTAACTTTAAAAATTAATTTTATTAATCAAAATTAAATACTAGTTAAAATAAAAATAAATATAAATATCTATATTAACTTTTAAAAACTATATTTACTTTATTATTCTATTAAAATATTAACTTTTTTTATATTAAAATTATTAATAATTATATAATATTTAAAAATTTTAATAAAAATTAATAAAGTTTTAAAAAAAATTTAAGTTTTTTTTAAAAATAAAAAATTCTTATTTTAAAAAAATAATTTTTTTAAAATTTATATATTTTTTAACTTTAACAATAAAGTTAAGATAAATTATAAATTTTAATTTAATATTATATTTATTTATATTAACTTATAACTAGTTTAAATTTTTAAAATTATATAAATACTTTAGTATAATTAGTAAGTATTAAATTTATATATTAATTTTATTTGTTTATTATTTCTTATTAAATATTATATTCTTTAATTTCTTTTTTATTTTTTTTATTTTAAGTTTATTTTTAATTTTTAATTTTATTTATATTAATTTTCTATTTGTTTATCATTATTATTTTTTTAATGAAGTAAAACTGTATAAGTTTATATTTATAAAAATTAAGTACTATATGATTCTGAGATAAAACTTTATAATTGTATAATTTAAATACTATTTATTAGTTAGATAAGTAAAATAGTTAATTTCTAGTTTAATTAGATAGATATTATAGTTGCAAATTAAATAAATCTTAAATAAATAATAATAATAATAATTATACTTATAATAAAATTATATTAAATGTTATATTATTCTGAAATAAAATCTTATATATATATATTTTAAATTATATTTTTTTAAATATTTCATTAATAAGATAGATAAATCTAAGTTTAACTAAATAGATATTATAGTTAAAAACTAAATAGATTTTAAAATAAAAAATAATAATAATTCTATTTAAAAGTTATCAATAAAATATTAAACACTATTTAAATAATTTTATTAAATTAACTCTATTAAAAGATTTTATACTATTAATTTAATATATTTAGAAAATATTTATAAAATTAAAAGAAGTTATAGTTTATTTAAATAATTTTATATTATATAAAAATATTATTAGTTATTTATCTTTACTTTTGATTTAAGTTTTATAAAAAAATAGTTAATATATTAAACTAAATTTTATAAATTATTTAACTTTATTAATTTATTCAAGTATTTTATTAATAAAAAAAGTAAATACTAATTTATTTAATAAATTTAATTAAGTTTATAATAATTAATATAGAATTAAAGATCTTCTTTAAATTATTTAATATAAAATTTAATATAATTATAGAAATTTTAATAAATTATATAAATTTTTATTAAATGAATCATTAATTATTTTTTATTTTAAAATAAATTAAATTATTAATTATAATATCTATTTAATGAAGCTAAAATTTATCTATCTTATAAATTAAATAAATAAAAAATTTAACTTAAAATATATAATTATGAGATTTCATTTTAGAGTAATATAGTATTTAAGAATAACTTCTTATAAAAGTAAACTTATACAGTTTCACTTTATTAAAAAATTAATAATAATAAATAAATAAAAAATCAAAACTGAAAAAAAGAAAATTAATAAGAAAAATTAATATAGTACTCAATGAGAAAAATAAAAGAAAATAAATTTAATATTTAAGTAATAGAAAAGTTATTTTAAAATATATTATATAATAAGTTTTAAAAAAGATATAAATTTTTATTTTATTTTGTTAATTTAATCTTATAATTTATATTTAAATTATATTGTAAAATAGTTTTTTAATTACTTCTTTATTAAATTTATCAATAAAATATTAATATTAAAGAAAAAATTTTAATAATAAGATTTCTTGAATATTATTTATACTAGTAATAAAAATACTAATATTTTTTTATAATTTTTATAAGTTAAATAAAAGTAAAAATTAATAAAGAGATATATATACTTTATAATTTTATTAATATTACTTTTATAAAAATTATTTTTTCTAAAAATATTAATTCATAATTTTAAATATTTATAAAAATATCAATTTGATTAATTATAATATTTAAGTATAAAATTATATCTATTACTAAAAACTTTATAAATATCTATATCTATTTATTATATTCTCCTATATTAATGTTAAATTATATAATAAAATAAAATTTAAAATTTTTAAAATTATTATATTTTTAAAAATTTTAAAGTTTATATAAAAATTATATTTAAGCTTATAATTTTAGTTAAGAGTTTATTATATAGTAATTAAAAATATTAATATTTATTAAAATATATTAATATATTTTAAATTATTTATGATAATAAATATAAGAATAATATTATTAATATCTTTAATTTAAATATTTTTAAAAATTATTTACTTTCTCAGTTTTTGTTTATAATTTAAAATAAAAGTATTTTTTTCTATGATTCATAATATCTTAATCTGATAAAAATATCTTAGATATAACTTAACTTATATATACTGACTAAGAGTTAGTGCTAGTTATATTTTTTCAGATTAAATCCACCACTAGTAGCCGCTAGACCCAATCTGGAATCCACCTATCGCCGCTTTTTGGGACACCCTTTTGACGCCCGCGGCCAACGGCCTCACCTTCCGCTCGAACGACTAAGACGTTATGCACGATCCCCTGGAGATAGCGACATGAAGAGTCGATACGGACTTTGACTCAAGGTATGTTGATGAAGAGAGTGACAGCACTAGCGGCAGTTTTGAGGAACCCCTGTTTGGCGAGCTCGTGCGAGAAAACGATAGTTACCGACACCCAAGTCGAGTGCAGAGTCAGTGGAAAGCGGCTGCACCAGCGATGCGTCCGCCGACAATGACATCAGTGAACTTGACCGCTTCATAGAGGACGTGACGGACGACGAGTATGATGCAGACCCTGAGGAGACTGGGGCCATTGTCTGGCGGCGTATCGATAGGCTTCCACATCATTAGGAGCCCTGTGGCTGGCCGGCCAAACATTCTCCTGGCCAAGGTCACACTCCACTTCAACGACTGACCGACACTACAGGCAGGAAAACATTCGTCATCAGCCACAATCCGGAGCCGCTTCTGGATTATCTGGGGCACTTTCTCTCTATGGCAATAGATGACGAGATCTTCGCGCCTGAATTCGAGAAGCTCGAAGACATCTACTGGTATCCCATCTCGTCCTACCTAGGCGGTATGAGCCTAAAGATCAAGGCAGAGATGCTGGACGTGCCGGTGTTCCGCCAGCCCGAACGCACGGGAGATGGGTATCGAACATCAGAGGAGACACCGCTCAAAGGACCTCAGACACCTTCGCCTGGTTGGCTGGGCTCAAATATAATCTGACCCAGTATGTCTGGCGACGCTCTCTCATCAACGCCATCAACACTATGTGCCTGCCCCCACCACTCTCCTTGGTCCCTTCGTCTATCTTCTCTCTCTTCCCATTTCCCCTGGCCAGACTTACCGCTGACCTACCGGATCCGCACACAAAGGCTCCGTCCTCTGTTCGGGATCAAGTAGCCGACCACGAATCCAACGCGGTACGGTACTATTGGACACGATCATCCGCTTCGATCTGGAAGCCGCGGCCATGGAGCTTCCGTCCAACAAAGTGTTCCAGAAAGCAGCCCATGGGCTGTTCCTGAACGCCGACGCCACTGCCCCCACAGAACTTACCGACGAGCTGAAAAGAAAGATCACCGAGAATCCAAAGAGCAGCGAGCTTACC